CATAGTAGCATCATTTCTTCTTCTTCGATAAGTCTTCATTTCCCACAACAAACTACGTGGCATCTTTTCCTTTCTATTGGCAGTTCCAGAGCCTAAAATTTCTTCAGTCATTTCCCATATTTAATAAATATTATGACAACATTATGACACTATAGCTCTATGGCATTTTTGGCAAAAATATAGAAGTTTTAATCTATAATGCTCCATTTCCCTATCAAACAGAGCCACCTAGTTCTTTGATACAGTGAGGAATATGAATCTGATTAATCTGTCATACAATCTATCTCACATTTGCTGCAAATCATTTGAGTTCTCAGCTAACAACTATGGCGTCATCTGCACACATAGATGCACGTACATTTTATCTCCAATCACATCTCTATCATCACAAACATTTCTTAGATAATCTAACTAGAAATACATTCAATAATCAAAGGGACATCGCACATCGCTGCTTTATTTCCTGCTCAACATCGAGTCATTTCCTAAATGGTTGCACTGTGAGAGTGCATTTAGGCTGCACTCTCTGTTGTCTTTTTTCTTATTGTAGATTTTAATTGTATTTTTCAATTGGTTTTCATGGCTGAATTTAGTGATTTTTAACTTCTGACACTGAGTGTCACATGCAAGTGAGAATGGCAGCTATATAAATTAAATAAACAAATAAGCATTCTTTTTATTAATCATTATAAAATAATGATTTTATTTAATCATTTACTCCCTTATTATACCACTCTCACTGCATTCAGCAACCAGTCTTCAATTCCATGTTTGTTCCATAATTCAAATTTATTCACTTTGTCATATACTTCCTCTAAACAAAAAAATGTACTTTTTTTTCCTCACATTGAATAACCTGCTGAAGATCAAAAATTTGGGTACTTCCTCTGCCAGGTATAAAACTGTATTGTACTTCCCAATTTTGCATACGGTCATCCCTCCTCCCTTTTCAATTTACTTGTTTAACAAAGTAATCCCTTGTAGCTTCTGCTTTCACTCTTGCCACATCCCAATAATTAGGAGATGCAAGCAGTACACTGACAAATATTCAGTAAACTGGTGGCTGCTGTGTAACAAAATATGGTGTAACAAAAAAATAACTGTCATCTGTTAAATATCATGAATAATTTGCATATTCACAAAGGTATTCCCAGAATACTTTTGTAAATTTAATTGTTGATGGTTTGTAGTTGGACCAATAAAGAATAGAATAATAATATGATATGCAATGCATACATTTGAAATGTGTTGCTTAATATTCTTAATTGGGCCACAGGAAAATGTTTTATATTGCTGAGTGACTTTGGGCCAGTCATTTTCTTTCAATCCAGCCCACAGGGTTGTTCTTTTGGGAAAAACAAGAAGGAATCATAGATATGTTTGTCAGTCTGTGGGGCCCTTGGTGCTCTCTGAGCTTGGTTGTTTTCTTGCAGATACAGTATTTCATTAGCAAACTAGGTAACATCATCAATCTAGAAGAGAGTGAAATTGTCTCATATATTAGTGGCTGGCCCTCTCAGTATTGGTGTGAATGATCTTGGTCATTCCTTGATTTGACTGTTTACTGTTAGCTTGTTTGTCTGAGTTGGTAGTTCCTTGATTGGAGTATTATTTACTTCTTGATTGTTGGTCTAGTATTAATTTTGGTGTTAATGTTTGCTCATCTGCTGATTGCTGGTGAGAATGGGTTTTGGTCTTTTTGTTTCCTTTTTTACTTTTTCGATTGTCTCTTTTAATTAATAGATAGGTGTTATTTATCTCTATGTGCCTGTTGATGGCCTACTTGTCTGACTGCCAGACTTCCATAAATTCTCTCAATATTTTTTAGACTTGTCTTGGTCTAGGATGCTCATTGTTTCCCAACTGAAACTATGGTTAAGTCTGTCCATGTGTTGCCAAATTAAGGAGTTTTCTGACTGCTAGGTGGTGTTCATGAATGCTCGTTGCAAGTCTTCTGCCCATTTCTCCTACATGGTGGGTATTGCAGTCCTTATGCTGTAGATGACTCCTGTTCGTTTCTTTGGGCACTGCTGGGTTTTTTGGTGTATATTTTGGAAGGCTTTAGTTGGTTTGTATGCTACAATGATGCCATGAGGTTATAATAGTCTGTTGGTGGTTTGAGGGATTTTTTAATGTATGATATTGTTGTCCTTTTCCCAGCTTGTGTTGGTTGTGCTATATCAGGTTAAGTGGTTTAGGCACTTTTTGATGAAGTTGTGTAGATATCCATGTTGTATCAATGATGTTTCCTCTTTTGATGTTCAGGGTTGCTGCAATGTGTTTGTGCACATCTAAATAGGGTTACACAGCTTCTCTTGTGGGAGGTTAGGTCGTTAGAGCTGGTAATGGGTTGGCATGGGTAGTTTTATGATAGACTTTTGTTTTTCATTTGCCATCACTGCCTCTGCTGATGAGGCTATCCAGGAAGGGTAGCATATTGTTTTCTAATTCTCTTGTGAATTTTATTCCTTTGAAGATGTTGACAGCAATGGATATATAGACAGACAGACAGAATAAACATATGCTATCCTAGAGAAGCCTATGCTAAGCAATTTTCAAGGAACATATAATATGCTAAATCACAGATTAATTAAATCCGAATGTAAAGAACAAAAATGTGGTTGGCTAGCTTGTGGCTGAGTATGTTGTGCAAAGCCCCAAAATGTGGTTGAGTAAAATTATAGGTACTTTAACTAGCTTAAGGGATCTTGCAGATACAGCCATGCAACTAAGCGTAAAACTGCACTCTTGTGAAAAATAAAGTTATTGTTTGCCACCATTTTCCCAGTGTGCATTTTTGTGTGAAAAGCCAGGTTAAACACTAGATGCTCTAGTGTTATTTCAAATGTGCACACCAAGTTTATGAACGAGCAAAAGAAATTACTGAAGGGTCTTTGGTGCTCTCTGTGCTTGTTTTCTTGCAGATGTTTCAAAGTAGGTAACATCATCAGTGGTCACCAGCACTGATGATGTTACCTAGTTTGGCTAATGAAACATCAGCCTGACCTCAATACCTGGGAAGATCCTGGAGAAGATAATCAAACAACGAATCAACGAACACCTAGAGGCAAACAAAGTCATTACTAAAGAGTGCTTGCACTCAAAGCGGTATACAAGTCTCATAAATAAATAAAAGCCAACATGGGTTTGTCAAAAATAGATCATGCCAGACAAATCTTATTGCGTTCTTTGACCAAGTGACAAAATTAGTGGATCAGAGGAATGCTGTGGACATAATTTACTTGGACTTCAGTAAGGCATTTGATAAAGTAGATCACAACCTACTACTCGATAAGATAGAAAAATGTGGGGTAGACAGAACCACCACCAGATGGATCCGTAGCTGGCTGACCGGCCGTACTCAGCGAGTGGTCCTCAATGGAACTGCATCTATATGGAGGGAAGTGTGTAGTGGGGTGCCCCAGGGCTCTGTTCTGGGCCCAGTACTCTTCAACATCTTCATCAACGATTTGGATGAAGGGATAGATGGGGAACTCATCAAATTTGCATACGACACCAAGCTGGCAGGAATAGCCAACACTCCAGAAGACAGGCTTAAGATACAGAAGGATCTGGACAGACTTGAACACTGGGCACTAACTAACAAAATTAAATTCAATGGTGAAAAAAGCAAGGTTCTACATTTAGGCAAGAAAAATGCACAAGTACAGCATAGGTGGCACCATGCTCAATAGTAGTAACTGTGAGAGGGACCTCGGAGTCCTAGTAGACAATCACCTAAATATGAGCCAGCAGTGTGCTGCAGCTGTCAAAAAGGCCAACACAGTGCTAGGCTGCATTAACAGAGGGATAGAATCAAGATCACGTGAAGTATTAATACCACTCTTCAATGCCTTGGTAAGGCCACACTTGGAATACTGCATCCAGTTTTGGTCACCATGATGTAAAAAAAGATGTTGAGATTCTAGAAAGAGTACAGAGAAGAGCAACAAAGATGATGAGGGGACTGGAGGCTAAAACATATAAGGAACGGTTGCTAGAATTGGGTATGTCTAGTTTAACGAAGAGAAGGACAAGGGTGGACATGATAGCAGTATTCCAATATCTCAGGGGCTGCCATAAAGAAGAGGGAATTAAGCTATTTTCCAAAGCACCTGAAGGCAGGACAAGAAGCAACGGGTGGAAACTCATCAAGGAGAGAAGCAACCTAGAACTAAGGAGAACCTTCCTGACAGTGAGAACAATTAATCAGTGGAACAGCTTGCCTCCAGAAGCAGTAAATGCTCCAACACTGGAAGTTTTTAAGAAGAGACTGGACAGCCATTTGTCCAAAATGGTGTAGGGTTTCCTGCCTGAGCAGGGGGTTGGACTAGATGACCTCCAAGGTCCCTTCCAACTTTACTATTACTAATACATTTGCAAGAAAACAAGAAAGCTCAGAGAGCACTAAGGGCCTCTCATTTCAACCCTGAACTACAAATATTCTTTGTTAGAAATTACTGATTTAGTGGGAGCTATATTAGTGTTAATGCACACACATACACACAGAGGGAAAGGGAGAAAAACAGAAACCCAGCCTTATTTCTGAAATTCGTGCACATGGTTCCACAGCCATATAATCTTCTAAAACAGTTTATTTTCAGGTTCTGTCTTCAGTAGATGACACCAGCCATCTATTAACAAACTCAAAGAAATAGTGCAAGATTGAAAGATGTGGAGACATCTTGCCCATAGAATCGACTTAATCATCATCTGCAGATGAAAAGTCGCCTATATCCTTTTTCCAACAACGAAAGTTTATTTAAGTACCAGTCATTCCCCTTATATCTTTTAAATTATATTTTTAAAACTCCCCTTTTAAGTTTAATTCCCCGCCTCCCCCCCAAACCCTTCCAACGTATGGAGACAGGACTCATTTAGCAACGCTGCAAGTTCTCTGCGGAACCCCTTGCAAAGCACCAGCAACCCTCTTCCCGCGCGCCCCTCGCCCGTCTCCTTTAACTCGGCGGCGGAAGCAGCGCGGTGCGCGGGTCCGCCGTCCAATGAGTTTGTGCAGCGCATCCTCCGGCTTAGCTGAGTTGGGTCCGTCACTTCCTGCCCTAGGAGCCGGCACGGCTGAAGCCGAAATTTTGGGCAAAAGGGGGGTGGGGACGTTGCGTTGCGTCTGCCACCAACATGCCCTTTGATTTCAGGAGGTGAGTGCGGCGACCCCTGGAAAGGGGTATGTGTGAGTGAGACCCAAATGAATGAAGGGCTCCCCGACGCCCGGGCAGCGTCCGTAGACTCTCCTCCCATCACGCCTCTTCAAAGCTGCTTAAAGCGGTGACCTTTCCCAGTGGTGGGTATAGCCCCGGTGCCCGGGATGAAACGTGCTTCTCAGCACAGAGAGGATGTAAGAAGAAGCGGGGTGTGTGAGCAAGCCTAGTAACTGATGGTTAGGATCGAGCGGGTGCCTCGGGGAAGAAAAGAGGCACGTCGCGTAGGTAGCTAGCTGACCTTTAGCATCCCTACCCCAGGGCTGCCCCCGTGGTTTGCCTTCCACCCGCAAACATTGTGATGAAATGGGAGTAGCGGCGGGCGGATCCAGGTGTGGATTTGCCTTGAAGAAACCTGTGCTTTCGAGCGCGATCACCAGCCTGAAGACAGTAGCTATAGGAAAACCTGGGCAGTCACTAGAAATATTAGAAGTGGCCCATTTGTGCCCGAGTCTCTCCTTGGAGTTTTATTAAAACTTTTGGTTATTTAGGATTTTGAAGGATGTGTTATACTATCAAGTGTCATATTTCTATGCATACGCTTGCATCTAGAACAATATGGGTATGGGTTGAAAGGGAAAGCTGAATGAGTAAAAACCTCATAACTCCAAGATATAACGGCATGCATTTGTATTCCATGCTAAGCCCCCATAAATAAATTGGAGAGCTAATATGGTGTACTGGTTAAGAGTTAAATTAGCGCTTCCCACCCAATTTTCTTTTGCTGCTATTTTTCATTTTCTTCTGATTCTATGTCCTTCATTCCTGCCTCCTCCCATTTTGTTTGTCTTACCATTATTGTTACTTGATTTTTATTACACTCCTTTTTATTGTGCTGTGATTCTTATACTTTGTTAAAAAATGGTTCTACTATGGCCAATTTCTTTTATTGTTACAATTTGATCAGTGATACAGTCATAAAAGATTCTCATTGTACTGTGAAAGACGCAAGGGTACAGCTTGTTACAATAAATAACAATTTCTTCCCTGGTAGGCGGTAGAATTCTGAATTATTCCGTTTATTGTAGGAAAGTGAGCTGAAGCATTGAGGTTCCCAGATGTTCTATGGTAATAGAAGTCTCTTTTTGGAGAGCAGCTTCTGGTTGCTTCTCTCTGTGAGTTAAAATGGTCCACAACCAAACTTGAAGCCTCAGTTGTCCTTCTATCATGATAGTATATTTCCCAGAGTATATTCTTTAATTTACTGTATTTTTATCTCATCCTGAAGGAGAGAAAACTTCTGAAATTGCCCTTCTAGAAAGAAATCTGCTTTTATTATGTAATAACAGGCGTGTCAGCTGTATTGTGAAGTGTGACATAACCAAACTCAGAAACAGCAAGGCTGAAAGGAGGGAGGGTGAGGTGGACCCAGAATGGTGGCATAAAAGGTGTGTAGAATTTGGACATAATTCTAAACCTATTATTATTATATAATTTTATGTTACCCTTCCCTGGAGGTGTGGGAAAGAGAAATCAGAGGGTTTTCTTGAATAATTTGTGCTGCCTGCAATAAATTGAAATGAGAAATCACTCTGCAAGAAGAATAAAGAAAGCAGAGTTGGAAGGGATCTTGGAGGTCTTCTAGTCCAATCTTCTGCTCAAGCTGGAAACCCTGTACTATTTTAGACAATAGTTCAGAAGATGTATGCATATATGTAGGAAGCATACCACAGTAGTAATGGGAGACTTCAACTATCCAGATATCAACTGGGAAACAAACTCTGCAGAGAGCGGGAGATCACACATATTCCTAACCAACCTAGCCAACAACTTTGTCACCTAAAAGGTGGAGGTGGGAACTAGACGTAAAGCTATATTGGACTTAATCCTTATTAATAGAGAAGAAGTGATAGAGAGAATTGAAATTGCCAGAACCTTGGGTGAAAGTGACCACGTCATACTGGAATTTAACATAATGCAAACACTAGCAATAGAAAACAATCCAACCAGTGTCTTAAACTTCAAAAGAGCTGACTTTAACAATCTCAGAGAGAACCTAGGAAAGATCTCATGAATGAAAATCCTAAAGGGGAAAACAACCCAAGAAACATGGGAAACTCTGAAAAATGCGATCATAAAAGCCCAGACCACTGAAAAAGAAAAACAAATTCAAGAAGAAGCCAGCATGGCTGTACAAAGATCTCTCTGACAAACTAAAAGACAAAAAGGACAAATTCAAAAAATGGAAAGAGGGCCACATAACTAAGGCCAATTATCAGCGGACAGCCAGAACATGCAAAGATGAAGTCAGGAAAGCAAAGGCTCAGAACGGATGAAGACTTGCTACAGAAATCAAGGATAAAAAAAAAAAAGTTTCTTCCAACACATTAACAACAAGAAAAAAGTCAAGGAAACTGTAGGTCCACTAAAGAGAGACGATGGCAAGGAAATAACAGGCAACAGGGAGGAGATGGCAGAACAGGAGACAGCAGAACTGCTTAACTCATACTTTGCATCAGTCTTCACACAAAAAACAAAACTATAGCCCAACATACCCAAAAAATCCACTGCAAAAGACATACTAGAAACAAAAATTAAAATAAGCAAGAAAATGGTAAGAGAACACCTATCCGACCTTGATGAGTATAAATCACTGGGGCCTGACAGATTACATCACAGAGTTCTGAAGGAGCTGGCAGATATTATCTCAGAACCATTACACCACATCTTTCATAAATCCTGAAGCACCGGGGAAGTACCTGAGGATTGGAAAAGGGCTGATATGGTTCCCATCTTCAAGAAATGGAAAAAAAATGGACCCAGGAAACTACAGACCAATCAGTTTAACATCAATACCTGGGAAGATCCTAGAAAAGATAATCAAAAAAACAGATCTGCGAACAACTAGAAGCAAACAAAGTTATAACTAGTAGCCAGCACAGGTTTGTTAAAAACAGATCATGCCAAACCAATCTTATTTCATTCTTTGATAAAGTGACTAAACTAGTAGACTCAGCAAAATGCTGTGGACATAATATACTTAGATTTCAGTAAGGCATTTGATAAAGCAGACCACAACCTACTCCATGGTAAGCTAGAAAAAGTGCAAAAGACAACATCACCACTAGATGGATATATAGCTGGCTGGCAAACCGTACTCAACAAGTAGTCCTAATGGCACCACATCCACATGGAGAGTAGTAAGCAGCGGGATACCACAAGGTTCTGTCATAGGCCCAGTACTCTTCAATATCTTCATCAATGACTTAAATGAGGGAATTGAAGGGGAACTCATCAAATTTGCAGATGACACCAAATTGACAGGAGTAGCCAACACCTCAGAAGACAAACTCAGGATCCAAAAAGATATTGACAAACTTGAACAATGGGCCCTATCCAACAAAATGAGTTTCAATGTGGAGAAAAGCAAAGTTTTACATTTAGGCAGGAAAAATCAAAGGTACAAGTACAGATTGGGTGAAACCTGGCTCAAAAACAATAACTGTGAGAGGGACCTTGGAGTCCTAGTGGACGATCACTTGACTATGAGCCAGCAGTGTGCAGCAGCAGCTAAAAAAGCTAATACAATCCTGGGTTTTATAAACAGAGGCATAGAATCAAGATCATGTGAGGTATTAGTACCGCTTTATAAAACCCTAGTAAGACCACACCTTGGAATACTGCAGCCAATTTTGATCACCATATCACATAAAAGATAATGAGAGTCTGGAAAAAATTCAGAGAAGAGCAATTAAGATGATCAAAGATCTGGAGACTAAAACATATGAAGAATGGCTGCGGGACTTGGGTTTGGCTAGACTAAAGAAAAGAAGAAATAGCAGTATTCCAGTATTTGAGGGGCTGCCACAAAGAGCAAGTCACATTATTCACCAAAGTACCAGAGGGAAAGACAAGAAAAAATGGTTGGAAACTGATCAAAGAGAGAAGCAACCTAGAATTAAGGAGAAACCTCCTGACAATGAGGACAATTAACCAGTGGAACATCACTGGAGATTTTAAAGAAGAGACTAGACAGTCACTTTTCTGAGATGGTATAGGTTCTCCTGCTTGAGCAGGGGGCTGGACTAGAAGACCTCCAAGGTCCCTTCCAAATTCTATTCTATTCTATTCTATTTCAGGTTCTTCTTAAGAACCTCCACTTCTGGAGGCAAGTCATTCCACTGATTAATTGTTCTGTCAGGAAATTTCTCCTTAGTTCAGGTTGGTTCTCTCATTGATTAATTTCCATCCATTGCTTCTTTTCTATAGGCAGAACAAGAAGCAATGAATGGAAACTAATCAAGGAGAGAACCAACTTAGAATAACATTAAATATAAATAATAATAAACTAGTAAGAATAGTGACCCGTATCTTAAAGTTGGCAATGAAAACATTGAATGGGAGATTTACTAAAACAATAAAATTAAGAAATAGGCTGTAGATTAGCATTTGGTAGAGTAGCAATGACCCCTTGGGAAAGATATTCAGATACTGTGATGTGCTCATACCTAAAAAGACCAGAATTATACATCCTACAGTTTCTTTGTGGCACTCTATGGAAGTAAAAATAAAGCATGAATATTTTGTTTTGTGCGTTCTGATATGTAACGGGTGCCATATTTTTACATGCTTTTTACAAGAAGAGTATTGGTGATTTCTTCAATTGGATCCTCTGTATCCCATTGCTTTTTTTCCTTCCCCTTATTTGATATCTGTCCTATGAACCAAAGTAACTGACTCCTGCTAAATATAAACAAGGTTGGAAGTTGGCAGTAATTTTATTGTCCAAATGTTAAACTCTTCCTTCAGGACTTCTAAATGATGTCATTGTTTCCAGGATATGGTTTTGCTAACATCCTGCAAATCTAGTTATTATTGGAAAGGACGTGAATGAAATTACTGGTTTGTACAGTATACAAATAAAATATTGGCACTTGCATTTATTCATGAAAAATAGCACATTGTCTTTTAATGGTCTTGAGTTTTAGGGGTCTAACAGGTGGAAAATCTCTTAAATTTTTATCTTGTGTTGATGTTGCTCTCTATTCTGTTTTATGATCAGTTGTCAAAGAGTTTTGAATGCATAGAGAGAGCGAGATACCATAAAGATAGATTGTAAAAATATAGAGGATGCATTGTTAATTAATATGTTATTTAAGACAGTGGCCTCCAACCTTTTGGGCGCCAGAGACCAATTCCATGGAGACAGGTTTTTCCACGGACTGGAGGGGGCTGCCTGCATCCTGCAGATGGGGCTTTGCTTGTTTGTGTGGCCTGGTTTCTGCCATACTGCAGCCCGGTGCCAGTCCACGGACTGGGGGTTGGGGACCCCGATTTAAGATATTTTTGTAGCACATCAGCAATTAGACTGTTTCAACAATTCTCAGCTGCCTGAACTGTTGTGGTAGACCTTAATTTGCTTTGTCAAATACATTATGGAATTGTGATGATACATCAGATATTTTGGAATTGACATGAATATATCAGAATTATTAGGGTGATACTTAAATAGCTGTATTGATCAGCTTTTTAGTAAAAGACAAATCAAACCGTATAAAACATTTTATTTTAGACACCTAAATCATTATAGATAGTCCTTGTTTAGCAACCACAATTGGGATTAGAAAATTGATTGTTAAGCTAAGTGGTTGATAATTGAAAAAATGACTGAGCTCATGATCTTGCTTCAACTTTCTTTTGCTTTGCAGACCTGCAAAGATAATAAATGCAAAAATCAGTTGTCAAATTACTTTTTCATCACCATCGTAACTGTGAACAGTTGTTAAATGACAATTACCTGTATTAACATGCAACATTTCTAGTAGTCACAAACAAAATTAAAGAAAGAAAGCTGTTATTATATTACATTATGTAAGCCCAATTTTATGGGATGATACTGGGTGGATAGTTATTACTCACTACTTTTCAAAAGGAACAGAACTAAAAGATTGTAAAAACAGTGTAAATTTTTACATTGGCATATGAACAAAGATTTAAAATTATTCTCTTCTATTGGATTTAAAATAAATATTGAAGCAATATAAATATATTTAAGTTGAGCTTTTAATCACTTCAAACTGAAGATTTAGGATGATTTTCCTTTTCTATTTAAAACTCAAATGATAGGGAAAATTTGACTTGGTTATTCATATGATCAAGAGATAACTTATTAGCTAAAATATTAAGTTGTCATTTTACAAATAAGAGTGTTCCTGCAGTCCAGTAAGTAATTTGTGATGGTAGAACAGGAAGTTCTCCCAATGCCGTTTCTTATACCACGGAGATCATTTCTCAGACTTATATAGCAGATTTTTAAAGATTGTACAGAGCTGAAAGGAGTATTAAAAGATATAGTTTTTCCCTCTCCCCAGAGGGTGCATCCATTAGTACCGTTCCATATGTGAACAATTCATAAATGTGAATAATTTCTGTCTATCCACACTTTTATGTTTAGTAAACTATTACTTTATAAAAATATCTGAGTGTTATTCAGGCTGAAGGAACTTCCTTTCTTTCATGCTTGTTGCTTTCAAGCAATTCTATAGTAACATCTTATTTCTAGCATAAGCCCAATGTCTGCCCTTCCTCTGCTCTTGTTTTTGCAATTCAGGAAATAATAGAACTTTAGGCCAAGGCTAAAGTTTAGGCTTTATTTGTGTTTTGCTATGAAATAAATTTTTGTTGTATGTTTCTCTTGAATTTGAGATATAAGTTGAGACTTTTCTTATGACTGACAGACTAGTATTTTAATATTTTTATGATTAGCATTAGATCCTCCCATGGTATGTAGCATATCAGGTAGAAGTCTCTTAAGAGGGAAAAGATAAATTTATGAATCCTATTGTTGAGTGGGTTTGAAGTGAAACATATGAATTAGTTGCTTACAGACAGTATATAAATGTATATGTGATATCCAGTTATCACTTAGGCCCTGCCAAAATAAAATCAAGATTAAAACAAAAGAGATTTTACTGGCCTGGGGCAAACCTCAAAAAGGCTTTTGTTTTCATTTAAAAAAAATTCCTATTCATTTTTCCATATTTTGTTAATCAATTAAATAAAGCAACAAAATGATATTCAGATAAGGACAATTAAGGGTAGAATGCTGATCAGTTGATTGTTTATTAGTTTACAAACAATTTTTTTTCAACCAAGGAGGAACAAGGAACCTCTTGATGTTTGGTGTATTTATTTCTTTGTTTCATTCGCAATGAAACAAAGTTTTCACTCCAAAAACGGGTTGGTTTCTTTGAATATCTCTCCTATTACTTGAACATATTTTTCTGGGATGATGTGATTGTATGACAGAAAAGGGGAAAAGAACCAATTTTACGGATACATATTTTTATTCTTCTGGGCTTGCTGCCTAATTGAAAGGATCACTCTATCATCAAGATTAAACTGAACTGCAGAGTTCTGTGAGTTTCAGATTACAGTAAAGCCTGATTATATCTTTTTATTTTTTTCATCCTTTTTATAGTTTGCTTTGATTTCCAAGTGAACTCGGAAAATATTTTAATAAAGTCATTGGTTAAGTTCCTGTAAAAAATTCAGAGCAAGAAGATTCTATCATCCTTGTCCAGTATAGATTTCAGATGGAACTGTGTTCCCTTTACAGCCTGGGTACTTCCACAGAAGTGGTAGGACTTCCAGATGTTTTGCAGAAAAGTTGCAGAAATAAAAATACTTTGATTTGATGGAATTTGAAAATAACCTACAAATTGAAACATCTCCTGGGCCTTAATTATGAACAGCTGATGAAATATGACCTAGGAATCAAATGGATCAAAGACTGCATGGTTAATTGGCTGTAGCAATAGGTATGCGGGTATGAGAATTTCAGTGGAAGAATATCATTAAATTTAATCTGAACATTAAAGAGAAAATTGGTGTAAGATATTTTATTGTTGGGATAGATTCAGTTACAGCAGCAATGAGTGCCCTGTTGAAAGACCCTCTTTAGGGGCAGATTTTAAATTAAACCTTTTTTTTTCTAGGATTACACAACAGTTGCAGAAGGTAGCCTTCCAAGCCCAAGAAAAGATACAGCTATTTTAAGACTGATGCCCACATGTCTCCAGATCGCTGCACACTCTAATTAGTAGATGGCTATTGTATTTGGCAGCTTGGTGAAACAGATTTTACTGATTGTTTACACTATGAAAGTTGAATAGGTTTATCATGCCAAGGCCTTAAGAGGACAGAGATTAGGCAAACACAATAGAGCGTGAAGGAGTTTTTTATTGTTTTATTATAAACTTGGATAATTAAAGATAGCATTTTAAGAGTACATGGTGATCTTATTGATATTATTTCTGTCTGTCCCTGATTTTTTAGAATTGAATTCCTTTGACCAAGCATTACTTTTAAAATATCCCTTCGTCATTGTTTCAGAGCATTGATCCAAGGAAAGGCTGGGCTGGAACACTGGTTATTAAATAATTTGCTTTTCAGCCTGCTTGATGTTCAGGAAGGATTAACATTCTTTATTCTCAAAGATACTGAAGGGTTGAGGAGTGAATTTAATTTGTTTAGGTTTGAAAACTGTTTTCAGTTACAATGGTTTAACAACAGAACATATAAAACAGTTACTGTTTCAAAGCATGTGTAGGTTGTGCACTTGATCTATCAATAGATGATTGACTACTGTTAGGGCTGTGGGGGTTAATTTCTAACAGAAAGAGGGTGAACTTCCTTTATTTTTGAAGAATCTATGTGGGTTTGTCTATGCACTAAGTATTGCTTGTCAGATTGACAATGTTTATATTGGGCAAAAAGTATAGCTGCAAAATTGAATATGCAAAAATTCCTGGCTTTTCCTCCTGCAAAGTGACACATTTTAATTTGTTATCTTTCATAATTAAAGATATTGATAGTGAAGGAAGTCTGAAAGTATCATCTAATCTGCACTTAAATAAGAGGGAGTAGACGCTCTCTGCAGCCCTTGGCCTGGGGGACCTTTATATGCCTTCCCAACATTTCCCCTGATTCCAGCAGTCATCAGAAAACTATTACAGAGCTGATATTTGTGGCTCCACACTGGCCGAGGCGACCATGGTTCGCGGATCTCGTGAGCCTCGCCATAGCTCCTTCTGTGGAGGATTCCTCCAGAACGGATAATCCTGCTACAGAGGGTCATACGACACCCAGACCTGCAGTGGCTCCTGTTGACTGCCTGGCATCTGAACACCAGTTCCTGACATGGGGTTCATACTCCTCAAGAGTGCTCTCAATGATCCAGGCCTCTTGGCGGCCGGCGACAAATCGGATCTACGATGCCACCTGGCGGAACTTTTGTCACTGGTGTTTGTCCATTTCTTCTGTTACTATTCCGAGGATACTCGAATATCTCTTGGAAGGCGGCGGCTCTTTCACCTGTGCCAACTCCGCGCCGTTGTCTCAACACATGAGGGTTCAATCCTTTATCATGGGGGTTACAAACAGTAAGCTCTTGTAGTCCATTGTTACCCCACTTGGGAGTTACCATGGGTTCTTCAGGCTCTTACAGGAACCCCTTTTGAACCCCTCAGATCTTGCACTCTGCGACTCTTGTCCCTTAAAGTGGCCTTCTTAATAGCAGTGACATCGGCAAGGCGCATCTTGGAATTAGCAGCTCTTTCCGTGAGGGAAGACCTATGCATCTTTCATCAGGACAGAGTGGTCCTACGGTTGGACCCCTCGTTCATTCCCAAGGTTAACACCTTATGCCATAGGGCACAGGAGGTTGAAATACCGGACTTTTGTCCTAACACATCACACGACTTAGAGAGGTAATGGCATGCTCTAGATGTACGCAGGGCCCTGCGATATTACATTAAACGGACAGCTGCCTTTCGTAGATTGGAGGCGCTCTTTGTATCTTTCCATCCGGCCTCTACAGGTCAGAAGGTCTCTTCTTCTACTATTGCCAGGTGGATCAAGGCCTGCATCTCGGAGTTGTATCAGGTACACTCCCTGCCTGTTCCAAGCCGTCTGACAGCACATTCCACATGCAGTGCCTCTACATCAGCTGCGTGGCACACTCAGGCTTCTATCGTTGACATTTGTAGGGTGGCGACGTGGTCTTCGCCTTCCCCCTTTATCCGTCATTACAGGCTTGATAAATTTGCCTCTGCAGAGGCCTCCTTCGGTTGCCATGTTTTACAACAGATGGTTCAGTGAGCATCGACACTTGACCAGCCTGTTTCCCACTCGTAGGGTCACATGGGCTTTGGTATGTCCCATTCGTGGATTCTCCATTCTTTTCCATGCTGGAGAAGGGGTGTTGTCTTACCTGAACGCCTTTTCTCAGCATGAAGAATGGAGAATCCACCCTCTCCCCTTTTTGAAATTCACAGTCAGGTCAGTGTCAGTAGCTGGGAGCCAACACGTCACACAGTTTTTAGCTTTGCTCTTTTCGAAACTCGGGTTAGGTCCAGTCCAACAGGGGCGTGGCAACTTGATTGATTTGGTCTGATTGGGCTAGAGGACTTCTTTAACCCATTTGTGGATTCTCCATTCTTCATGCTGAGAAAAGGCGTTCAGGTAAGACAACGCCCCTTCCAAGCTCCCTTTTCTATAAATTCCTTCCTTTCAGTCCTTTTATCTCAATAATTGCCCTTAGCTAAGAACCATAGAGTTTCAATCTAGTACCACAGCACTGCCCTGTTTGTTCAGATCAAGCCTTAAATGGATTCTCTTTGTATCAGAAGAAAAGTCTCCATTCTTATC